GTTTGGAGTAGACCTCAAGTATTTATTGAATAAATGTTTCCTAATTTCCATTCCCACTGACTGTACTTAAATTGAAGCTTTCATTACTTTGTAACTGGCCTTCCTATCGTTTTGCCCCTTCCAGTTAATCCAATAGCATCACCATCATCAGTATTGTCACTTTCCTCACAAATAACAGCTATCATTTATTTGGTAGCTGTTTGACAATGCATCAGGCACTGTCATAAGCACTTTGCCGTAACATATCATGGTCTCTATTTTACAGTTGAGGAAACTTAAGACACAGAATTAAGTGATCAGGTCAAGATCATACAACCATATAAGGATTTTTAAACACTCATGTCACCTTATTTTTCTAGAGCATTGTTTTTCTAGAGCATTGTTTTTCTAGAGCATTGTTTTTCTAGAACCCTGTTGTCACTCCATTGCTCAGAAACCATCAGTTTCCTGTTGTCTAAGGAACTGAAGTTCACATTCCGCAACTCCTCAGCCAGAAGGGCTCATTTCCAATCTACACAGCTCCAATTTATCTCGAATTTTTCTTTTTGTTGAGAGAGAACCTAGGAGTTAGGAAACCTAAATTCTAGCCCTGGTTCTGCCACTCACTAACTTTGTCTCATGCGAGCATAAAATCTGAGCAAAAGTAAGTTGGTCAGACTAACAATTGGGTCTGAACACAATTGGGCTACAAACAAATGGTCCTGATACAGGTCTTCTGAGTGTTGGCAAGGCTTACAGGTACACAGTGAGATGTTTTATAGCCTTAATTTCCAACTCATTCTCAACTTATTATTTCTTTGAGATGTTTGTAATAGTGAAAAATTAGATAAATCTAAATGACCAATGATAGATGATTAACTAGAAAAACTAAATATCTAACAATAGGTTATTATTTGGAACAAACTAAATGTCTTTGGCCATTTTTTGTTCTTTTATGGTGAGAATTAAATTATAATGTGCATGAAGAGTAGTTTGTAAGTTAGAAAGTATCATATAAATGTTAGTTTACTTTTTTTTTTTTTTTTTTTTGGCCGTGCCATGAGGCTTGTGGGATCATAGTTCCCTGACCAGGGATTGAACCCATGCCCTCAGCAGTGAGAGCTCAAGAGTCCTAACCACTGGACCGCCAGGGAATTCCCAAATGTTGTTTTCTTTATTGTCATTCGTTATGTTTCAACTTTAATTATAAAAATACTTCAGGCTCTACAGGTGATTCCCTAAAAGTTCCCAAAACACTTTGAGCAATTAGGCATCCGGGGAACCCCTGAAAGTATTTTATTTATTGATAGTTAATAGGGAGTGTTTATTAAAGAAATAATTAGAACTGAGTGCTTTGAGTTGGAGATAGACAGCTTCACTGAGTCCCAGCACAATGAATGAAAAAGACCCCCACTATGATGCATCATTATGGCATTTGGGATAAAAAGAACATGCTTCAGATCTTCCAAAAAGACAAAGCAGGTTACATGAAAAGGAACAAGAATCAGAATAGCACCAGACTTTCAACAGCAGTGTTCGGTGCCAGAAAACAATGAAGAATGCATTCATAATTTTAAAAGAAAATTCCAGCCTAGAATTCTCTCAGTTAAGGAATAATAAAGACATTTATTTTATCTCCCATTTGCCCTTTATTATGAAGCTATTTGAGGATATGCTCCAGAAAAATTAGGAAGTAAAACAAGAAAGACAATGACATGGTCCTAAGAAATAGGGGATCTCCCTTAGGAGAGAGGTGAAATGTCATATTTCAGAATGACAGATGCACAATGGGTTAGAGATTTTCGGCCCAGATTAGAGAAAGAATTTCAGGAAAAAAGCCTCCATGAAAAAACAGATTCAGTAGAGTAATAATAGTTGATTGAACCATTTGAAATAAATTTTTTTTGAAGATCAAAAAGAGTTGAGGGACTTTCCTGGTGGCGCAGTGGTTAAGAATCCACCTGCCAATGCAGGGGACAAGGGTTCAATCCCTGGTCCGGGAAGATCCCATATGCCACGGAGCAACTAAGCCCGTGTGCCACAACTCCTGAGCCTGTGCTCTAGAGCCCGTGAGCCACAACTACTGAAGCCTCTGCGCCTAGAATCTGTGCTCCGCAACAAGAGAAGCCACTGCAATGAGAAGCCCGTGCACCGCAACAAAGAGTAGCCCCCTCTTGCTGCAACTAGAGAAAGCCCGCGTGTAGCAATGAAGACCCAACGCAGCCATAAATAAATAAATAATTTTTTTAAAAAAAGGAGTTGAATTACAGCAACATGATATGCAACATAAATAATTGCTATATTCATAGTGTGTTCGTTACTTGCCAAAAGCAGCTTTATGTAGCATATGTGTATTGTCTCATTTAATTCTCACAATAATCATGAGGTAGGTAATATTATTTTCTCTGTTTTAAGACAGAAAAACTGGGGCAAAAGGAAGGTTAGGCTAGGGTTAGGTTGCCCAAGGTCATCCAGCTCATGTAAGTATTGGAGCTGTGGTTTGAACCTGGACAGCCTGATTTCAGAGCAGGGGTTTGTAGCTTATGCTATATAGGTAGGAGGTTGGAGGATACTTTTTTTGTGGACGCTGACCAATCCCAGGAGAAAGACCTGTAATACAGCCAAGTTACCATACAATGAAGCCCACTGTGCAGAAGCCCTACCTACCCACTTAGAACTTCCTATCAGCTCTTTGAAGGAAATATAAAATGTATCATTAATATTGGTAGAGAAATAAGAGAGCGTAATGCATTGGTGAAACAAGAACAGAATACCATAAAAAGGAACATTCAGAGGACAAAGGTCTAAAACATTGAGTATTGGGAATTCCCTGGCAGTCCAGTGGTTAGGACTCAGCACTTTCACTGCCGAGGGCCCAGGTTCGATTCCTGGTCGGGGAACTAAGATACTGAAAACCTTGAGATGTGGCCCAAAAAAAAACTGAGTATAATAGCAGAAATGAAAACCTCAATAGGTGGATTGGAGGATGAATTTGAGGATATTTAGAAATTAGAGCATGAAGGTAAGAGATGGAAAAGAGAAGAGAAAGGGTAAGAAAATTGGAAGACCAGTCCCGGTGCTTCAGCTCTAACTCTTAGGCATTTCCAAAGAGAACAGAGAAAATGGAAGGTAGAAAATCATCCATGAAATAACTCAAGGACATTTTATAGAACTGCAGGTTATGAGTTCTGAGATTGAAAGGGCCTGCTCAGGGCCCAGCACAATAGATGAAAATAGAGCCACACTGGAGAACATCACTGTAAAATTTCAGAACATTTGGGGACAGAGTTCTCATAAGCTTCAAGGGAGAAATAATATAAGCCACATTAAAAGGATCAGAATTACTGGAAGTGACTTTGGATTTCTCACTGTTAGCACTGCAGTCTAGAAGCAATGCCTTCAGAATTGTGGGAGAAGGTGACTTTCAGCATAGACTAGAGATTCTCTCTATCTCTCCCCCCCATACATAATCTATGAGGATTAGCTCTCATACACCCTCACAACTCTCTCCCAAACTTCCCAAGTATATAGCCTGAGTGTAGTGGGGGTGTATGAGCTAATTTTCTTTGATCATGAGAGAAAGTAAATAGACACTCTTTGAATAAATTAAGAAATAATATTAGAAGCACATAATATAGAATTACGATAGATTCGACCAGAAGAAATAGCTGAAAAAGTTAAAAGTGGTCACCTCTTAGGGATTTGGTTGGGGGGGTTGGTCGGTGAGATATGGCCAATAACTGTTGCTTCCATTATGGGCCTTTTGTCACCCTATGATTTCAAATCTATATACGTGAATTCGTTTAATTAAAAAAAATTTTTTTTAATTTATTTTATTTATTTTTTGGCTGCGTTGGGTCTTTGTTGCTGCCCACGGGCTTTCTATAGTTGCAGTGAGCAGGGGCTACTCTTCATTGCGGTGAGCGGGCTTCTCACTGTGGTGGCTTCTCTTTTTGCGGAGCACAGGCTCTAGGCGCGTGGGCTTCAGTAGTTGCAGCATGCGGGCTCAATAGTTGTGGCTCGTGGGCTCTAGGTTCGTGGACTTCAGTAGTTGCGGCACACAGGTTCGGTAGTTGTGGCTCATGGGCTCTAGAGCGCATACTCAGTAGTTGTGGCGCATGGGCTTAGTTGCTCCGCAGCATGTGGGATCTTCCCAGACCAGGGCTCGAACCTGCATTGGCAGGTGGATTCTTAACCACTGTGCCACCAGGGAAGCCCTAATAAAAAATTTTTAATAAAATTTTAAACTCAGTTGCCTTGCATTACTTCATTAGGGTTATGGAAGGATCAAATGGAATAACTGATATGGAAAAGAGTTTGTCCGTTGTAAACTGTTATTCAGTTGAAAGTGATAACATGACCATGTTGACTAAGAGGCAAAATACGGTTTTGAAGGACAGGTTGTTGGGAGTTATATTTGGTGGATGATAATGTCATTGTATCTGTTAACCTGGCCACAATAGTGCAGTCGCAAAACAAACATTCATTTTTGCTCATGAGTCTAGGCTCAGCTTGTGGGTTTGCTGATCTGATCCAGGCTCAGCTAATCTCACCTGGACTTGCTCGTGCATCTAAGCAGATTGTCTGGGGTTTGGATGGTCTAGGATGGCCTCAACCACATAGCTGATGGTTAGCTGTCTGTCAGCCGGAGCACCAGCTCTCTCCTGCAAGTTCTGTCATCCTCCAGCAGGCTAGCCTGGGTTTGTTTTCACGTCAGGGGCAGGAGTCCAAAAGAGAGTGGGAGTGCACAACACCTCGAAGGCCTAGGCTCAGAATGGGAGCACTTTCCCATGTGCCACATTGTTTGGGCCAAAGCAAGTCACAAAGGGTGCGAAGGAGATTCCATCCCTTTATGATAAGAGCTGCAAATTCACAATGAAAAGGAAGGGTGGAGAAAAGGGGTCATTTTTGCAATTCACCCAGCATAGTCAGTGAAGCTATTTATTCCACCTCTTTGGAATGAGAACACGGAAAGACATCAGAAGCCCTGTAACTGAACTTACTTTCTTTTTCCTTTGTAGACAATAAGAGAGGTGTCAGAGTTTTCCATTTAGATCTACAACTTCAAATTCTCAGCATGGAAAACTCAGAGAAGACAGAAGTGGTTCTCCTTGCTTGTGGTTCCTTTAATCCTATCACCAATATGCACCTCAGGCTGTTTGAGCTGGCCAAGGACTACATGAATGGAACAGGTAGGAAGAGTAGCCAAAAGCAATGATGGGGTTCAGGATGCACTGCCCTACAATACAGCACTTTGGCATATTGGATATTTTAAGCGGAAGGACTTTGATAAAACAGCAGAGGCAGGAAGGTCACTCTGACCTCCTCCCTCCACCCCTCTTCCCTGAAGCAGATCGTAAAACATTCATGTGAGAGGTGCTCTCCCTAAACCCGGAGAAAAGGAGCATCCTTATCTCTGAAGACAAAGGGAAGTCAAGCAAACATTCTTTGCTAAATTCCCCTTAGTTTTCTACCTATCGTATTCCGTATTCCGCCATGACTGTTTACCCTTCATCTAATCTAGCATAAAAATACAGTAAGTCCCTTATATAGAACAAGTTCCGTTCCAAGAGTGAGTTCATAAGTCCAATTTGTTTGTAAGTTCAACAGAGTTAGCCTAGGTACCCAACGAGCACAATTGGCTATATAGTACTGTACTGTAATAGGTTTATAATACTTTTCACACAAATAATACATAAAAAACAAGCAAACACAAAAAATAAAATATTTTTAGTCTTACAGTACAGTACCTTGAAAAGTACAGTAGTACAGGACAACAGCTGGCATACAGGGGCTGGCATCCAGTGAACAGGCAAGAAGAGTTACTGACTGGAGGAGGGAGAGGAGGTGGGAGATGGTAGAGCTGAAGGATCGTCAGCAACAGGAGACAGAGGGCAAGCTGCAATTTCACTCACGCCTGACGTTGATGGCACAGGTTCTGGTTCCTTGGTTCCTTGTTGGATTCAATTCCATCTACCGTCTTGAAAAAACAATCTAGGTAGTAGCTCTTTTTTTCTCATCATAGATGACTTGGTAGCCCTGGATTGCATTCTGAACGGCTGCCGCAACCTTCGTGTACCGTTCTATGTTCAGGTCCTATGCCTCAATAACTAACAGTGCCGCCGCAAATAAAGAAAATCCCCTTGCCATTTCCTGAGTCGTGAATCTCTTCCGTTCTTCAGTTACTTCTTCCTCTCCTCTCTCTTCGTCCTTTCTCTGGGCCTCCAATCCCATCACAGCTTCATTAGTAAGCTCCTTGTGTTGCACAGCAAGGAGTTCAGTGAAGTCGTCCTCTTGCAAATCTAGCTAGAAATAAAGATACTATATTACTGTACCCTTACAGTACTGTACAGTAAAGTACATAAAAGCACAACCACTTGTAGAGGATGTGGTGCCCGTGACAGTGTACGCCAGACATGTTAACTAACTTATGTGATTGGACATGAGAACACACGTTCGCATCTTCGAAAGTTCGCAACTCGAAGGTTCATATGTAGGGGACTTACTGTACTTAGGTTTAACTGTTTCTTGGAGTCTTCATTTCCTTATGAAGGCTCCCGTGTCACGTAAATCTTACAGTATGTAAATTTGTATGCTTTTCTCCTGTTAATCTATCTTTGTCAGTTTCACACCCCGCCAGGGACCCTAAGAGGGTCGAGGAAAACTTTTTCTCCCCTACATACACACAGATTTATTTTGTTTTGTTACATAAGTGATCATGCTGTGTGCTGATAGGTGGATGGGTGTCCAAACTCACTAATAATCAGGGAACTAAAATAAAAAATGAGATATATTCTTCCCATCACATTGACACAAGTTTTTAAACTTGATAATGTCAAATATCAGGTGTTGGGAAGGAATGGGCTTTTGTGTATACAAATAGATTAAGGCTTTTTACAAGGCAGTTTGGAAACATCAATCAAAATTTAAACTGCTGAGGAATGGGGAGTCAGTGTTTGATGGGTGCAGACATTTCACTTGGGGAAGTTGAAAGAGTTCTGGAGATGGACGGTGGTGATGGTCGTACAACATGTCACAGTACTATACACTTAAAATAGCTTAAATGGTAAATTTTATGTATATTTTACCACAATTAAAAGTAAATAAATAAACCTGGATCCCTGTGAAAAAAGGAGGAGGGGGGAAATCTGTGATTATGAAACCATATGGATGATATTTCCTGTGCATAAAATCTAATTTGTTATAATACCTCATATCAAATCTGATTCTTTACCCAGGGAAATATGAAGTTATCAAAGGCATAATTTCTCCCGTCGGCGATGCATATAAGAAGAAAGGACTCATCTCTGCCCATCACCGAGTTATCATGGCAGAACTCGCCACCAAGAACTCAAAATGGTTGGAAGTTGATACATGGGAAAGTCTTCAACAGGATTGGATAGAGACTGCCACGGTGCTAAGGTATCCATGGTGCAGTCAGCTTTGCCATGCCATTCCTGTGTGAGGTTATCACATGGTAACAGGGTGTGGGTGGTGCTCAGCCTTTATGGCTGTCACTGTGTTTTGAGATGTTTGCACACTTGTTAACTGTATATCCCTATTAAAGAATAGAGGAAGCACACCTGGCCTGTCTGTGCCCCAAGTGAGAAAGGTAAGGTTGTAAGATGATGTTACTGTGGTCAGTCTTCTTAAGTATAAAAGAGAGAGGCAGGTAATTTAAGGAAGAGAAGCCATGATGCTTGATCACGGAGAGAGCTGGTTTTGGGAGCTGCTTCTCTGACAGCATATGGGGGTTGTCACAAATCGCCGTGCTCAGAACGCTGAAACAGCTCCAGTTTAAGGGTTCAGAAACCAGAGTGAGTAACATCTAATTATTACTGAATGTTCTCTTGAGTATAAAACACCAGGACTTTTGGAAAAACCTGTCTAATGTCTGTTCTTAGAGTTCGAACCTTCTGGTTCTAACCATATCAGTTAGGGTTACGATAGGAAATAGAGCATTTTAAGCAGAAAGGGATTTTAGGTACTCATGCAGAAATGTTGAAAGGGCTGGAAGAGTAGAAGTGGTGGCTTCTTTCAAGGTCATGCCTCCTTAACTGCAGTTGGAGTCAGGAAACTGTTCCTGCTTCTGCTGCCAACGATGCTGCTCTTAAACTGTCCCAGTCTATAGGGTCTGGCCACCACGCTGACATGGTAAGAGATTACTTGTCGGGGTCCAGTATATACTTGTTTGCTTTTTATGTATTATTTGTGTGAAAAGTATTATAAACCTATTACAGTACAGTCCTATATAGCCGATTGTGTTAGTTGGGTACCCAGGCTAACTTTGTTGGACTTAAGAACAACAAAGTCCAACTTTGTTGGACTTATGAACGTGCTCTCAGAAGGGACCTCATTGGTATTTAGGGGACTTACTTTCTGTAATCAATGTTAATGCTTGTTTTTATGACACAGACACATACAGCTTAGAATAGTAATAGCTACCATTTGCTGTGCTCCCAGGATTTTCCTTGCTTTCCATTCTTGACAGCCAGAGCCCAGGGCTGCCATGCCATATCCTAGCCAGCATCCGTTCTGACCCAGCAGTACTATGTATTCGAAGGCATCCATTCTGAGTAGTTGGGCATTGTACCTGTGGTTAAATGTGTTTAACAGCTCCCAACCTTTAACATTGCATCAGAGGCTCTTAGGCATCTCCAGAGGGATGACGTTTCAGTTGAGCATAGTGAGAAAGAGAAATGTTCTATTGCTTTGTTGCTTTATAGACACCATCAAGAGAAGCTGGAAGCCAGTAGCTGTGATCAGCAGCAGGACTCACCTGTACTGGAAAGGCCTGGACGGAAGAGGAAGTGGGCTGAACAAAGACAAGATTTTAGTCAAAAGAAATCACTAGAGCAAACAAAAACAAAAGGTCTGTATGTTTTGCCAGGACTTACCAATGATAGCTGATAAGACTCTAGAGCTGAGCAAGCCCCCTTTGTATTTTACTTTCATATTCAGTATGTGTGGGTGCCTGGAAAATGCCCCTCGTTAGTTTTCTTTTCTTTTTTTTTTTCCCCTTTGGCTGCACTGCACAGCTTGCGGGATCTCAGTTCCCCGACCAGGGATTGAACTCAGGCCATGGCATTGGAAACCCGGAATCCTAACCACCAGGCCACCAGGGAATTCCCCACCCCTTGTTAGTTTTATGATGGAAGGAAGGGAGAGTCAGAGGCACCCTGAGCTTATTTATCCTGCAGGAGGTCGACCTTAACTTTTGAGGGATCCTGGATCTCTTTTTAGAGAATCTGAATCTGATAGAAACTATGAACCCTTTAGCCAGAAGAACACACATACGCATTCATTTTGATGCAGGGCGTTATTAAAAAGGCAAACCCTGGGACTTCCCTGGTGGCACAGTGGTTAAGACTCTGCACTCCTAATGCAGGGGGCCTGGGTTCGATCCCTGGTCCAGGAACTAGATCCCAGATGCATGCCGCAACTAAGAGTTTGGATGCCACAACTAAGGAGCCTGCAAGCTGCAGTGAAGAAGCCCGCCTGCCACAACTAAGACCCGACACAACCAAATAAATAAATAAATATTTTTTTAAAAAAAGAAAAAAAAAAGGCAAACCCTGAAGCTCTGTTTTCTTTTTCTTCCCAGGTGTGCCAAAGGTGAAGTTGCTGTGTGGAGCAGATCTCTTGGAATCCTTTGGTGTGCCCAATCTATGGAAGGGTGAGGATATCGCCAAAATCGTGGGAGACTATGGGCTTATATGTATTACTCGGGCTGGAAATGATGCTCAGAAATTCATCTATGAATCCGATGTGCTGTGGAAACACCAGAACAACATTCACCTGGTGAATGAATGGATCACCAATGACATCTCATCCACAAAGATCCGGCGAGCCCTCAGAAGGGGCCAAAGCATTCGCTACTTGGTACCAGACCTTGTCCAGGAATATATTGAGAAGCATAGTTTGTATAGCTCGGAGAGTGAGGAGAGGAATGTTGGGGTGATCCTAGCTCCTTTGCAGAGAAAAACTGCAGAAGCTGACACATGAGAAATTCTCCAGCATGGTATTGTGGACTTTCCTTTTGGGAATTTGAAACAGTGTGGGTGTTAGTAAATGGGGGAAGGAATTGTGATCCTCTTTAATAAATTAAAGTTTAAAAGGTTGGTAAAAATCAGTAGTAATTTAAAATCAGGTTTATCTTTATCAGAAGTTACTAAGGTGAAGGATTTCAATTTTTTTTTTTAGGAATATACAAATCCCTTTATCTTTAAAACAAGAGATTAGTAGCAGAGCTAATTGTAGAAGAACATTATAGAAGAACATTTAACATACAAATCCCTTTATCTTTATTTTTTATTATTATTATTTTTATAAATTTATTTATTTATCTTTGGCTGCATTGGGTCTTCGTTGCTGTGCACAGGCTTTCTCTAGTTGCGTCGAGCTGGGGCTACTCTACGTTGCGGTGCGTGGGCTTCTCATTGCGGTGGCTTCTCGTTACAGAGCACGGGCTCTAGGCGTGTGGGCTTCAGTAGTTGTGGCACGTGGGCTTCAGCAGTTGTGGCTCACGGGCTCTAGAGCGTAGGCTTCAGTAGTTGTGGCACGTGGGCTTAGTTGCTCTGTGGCATGTGGGATCTTCCCGGACCAGGGCTCGAACCCGTGTCCCCTGCATTGGTAGGTGGATTCTTAACCACTGCGCCACCAGGGAAGTCCCCTCTTTATCTTTAAAACAAGAGATGCGTAGCAGAACTAATTGTAGAAGAACCTTGTAGAAGAACATTCAATCAAACTAACTACAAAAAGAATTCAAAAAAGACATCCTGGCTTTACCACAGAAAGAGAAGTAAAGTGTGAAAAGTAAAGAGACCATTTAAGATCCTAATTTTAGTTACGAAAGGAATGAACATTTTATGCATGCCTTTTTTCCTGGGCAGCGCTCACTCAGGGTGGCCAAAGAATTCTTAAAATAGTGATCTTGTAAAATGCATCACTGATCAGTCATCTCCAGCTGTGCAAAATACCGGCGGTGAAGTCCTGGCAGAAACTACGCCAGGAGCTGGTTCTCTCCAGCACACATCAGAAGGCCAGTGAAGCTTTGCTAGGCACGCTTACCTGCAGCCCCACCTGTAGAGGCAGGGAGAGGGGTCCGAGCCCTGGAATGTTTAGAAAGGTACACAGGTGTTTCTGATGCCCACGAGAGGCAGGGAGCCTCTGCCTTCCCCACGTTATGCACAGATTCTCTTAGCACAGCCCTGTTGTGGCTCGTGGTCCAGCCCTGGCCATCTGCCATCTCTGTATAGAAGGGATGTCGTGCTAGCTGACACAGAGAGAACCACAGAGAATGAGAGATCTCACTCAAGGATTTTGTGAGGTGTGAATGCTCTTAGCCTTTACTGGTAGCTTAATCAGATGGTGAAAGGACACGAGAAATGCCGCACTGGACCAGCCCAGCAGTTCCTCTTTCTTTTTGTGGCTGCGTTGGGTCTTCGTTGCTGTGCGCGGGCTTTCTCTAGTTGCAGCGAGCGGGGGCTACTCTTCATTGTGGTGCGCGGGCTTCTCATTGCGGTGGCTTCTCTTGTTGCGGAGCACGGGCTCTAGCCGCACAGACTTCAGTAGTTGTGGTATGTGGGCTCAGTAGTTGTGGCGTGCAGGCTCAGTAGTTGCGGCACACAGGCTGTAGAGCATCGGCTCAGTAGTTGTGCTGCATGGGCTTAGTTGCTCCGTGGCATGTAGGATCTTCCCGGACCAGGGCTCGAACCCATGTACCCTGCATTGGCAGGCAGATTCTCAACCACTGCACCACCAGGAAAGCCCCCCAGCAGTTCCTTTAGCTCAGAATTTTGGTTCCTGATGAGTGGCTTGTGGAAGAAATCTCCACAGCCTCAATCTAAAACTCTCGAGTTTCTGAAGACCCCTGCTGGTTCTATTCCAGCCCACTGTGAACCTGCCATTTGTGGATTTAAGCAGAAAAAGAGTCTGTTTTCTTATACTTTTTCTCTTCTTGTCCTTTTGTAGGAACTTTACCCAAAGTAGAACACTCAAATAATAATTGAAGTCATAACGTTATGTTAAAAACACAAACTTGTTATATGGTTTGCTACTGATTAAAATTTTGTGGAAGTTTTACCAATTAATAAAACAAAAAGACCAGAAATAGCTTTTTCTAGAATAGTTTCATGGTTCATGAAAATCACTCTGTGATAGAAAGAGGACTAAAGTTAAATTTCTAATGAAAGTAGAATAGGGACTTCCCTGGTGACACAGTGGTTAAGAATCCACCTGCCAGTGCAGGGGACATGGGTTCGAGCCCTGGTCTGGGAAGATCCCACATGCTGCGGAGCAACTAAGCCCGTGCGCCACAACTACTGAGCCCTCGTGCCACAACTGTTGAAGCCCGTGTGCCCTAGAGCCCGTGCTCCACAACAAGAGAAGCCACCGCAGTAAGAAGCCCGTGCATGGCAGTGAAGAGTAGCCCCCGTTCGCTGCAACTAGAGAAAGCCCGCGCGCAGCAAGGACCTGACGCAGCCCCCCAAAATAATAATAATAATAATAATTTTAAAAGAAGAAAGTAGAATAATTTACCTTTACATACCTACATCTAATAATTTACATTTCATACCTACACCACTCTAAAGGATTTATACCTCTGTAGGAGAAAAAAATGTACTTATACCTGTGCAGTTGGATAGTCAGATCTGAAGCCACCATTTAAAAAAGGAAAATGTTAAATAAACTTGGCAAATGTAAATTCTACAGCTCGTGGCTTATTCTTATAAAGTCAACGGGCCGACTTCTCAAAGACGGAGGAGAGCAAAGCCTGGCACCCAATAGCTTCAGTCTCTTATCTGCTGAACAAATGCAAGGTTATAATCTCAGATTGTAGAGATGAGGATCATTCTTCCACTCCTCAGCTTTTCGGAGTTTAAGAATTGTAGCAGTACTGAAAAATAACAATCTGGAAACAGATGAAGTTATCAAAATGTAACTTTGATTTCTTCTCCTGGGAAACTACACTTAGTTTATATGAACTGCGTGTGAACTGCAGGAACTTTCCAGTGCTAGAAACTTCTTTTCTACTTTGATGCCTTCCTGCCTAGAAGTGCTCACAGTCTGCTTAGCTGTGAGTATATTGACCTCAGGGCCCACTGGGTAAAGCATGTGGGGACCCTCCCAGGAGACCTGGTAACAGTGAAATGATCCTATTGTTGGGCTACTTATGGATCAACAACTTTGTACATGGAAGGAGCTGCTTGCCTTTTTGTCCCAGTACCAGGATGCTGCTAATGCCACAAAGTAATAACATAGTTTAGGGTATCCTTAAGGACAGAACTTCCTCTTTGGATAATGAAATAAGACAATGAATTTCACAAGGGAATAAATATCAGTAACTGTTGTGGCTTCTGTTGAGGAAGAGGGGGAAAATGCCATTGTTTGTTCCCTACCATACCTTTTTCATACTTGGCTCTTGTAATGTGAATTTAAGAGTTTAGGAAGTGTGTAGAGCTGGTGTTTTTTATGTGTTGTACTCCCTTACCTCTTACATTGTCTAATTTGAAGCAGCAAAAGAACGTTCAGTAGAAGTCCTTTACTGCAGCTTCATTCAGTTGAGCCTACAGCACGTGGGGAGGTCTGTGTTGTTGTTTGCCGGTAAGTGGACAAGTGTGAACAGCACTTGTTAGCAGTTCCTTGGAACTGGGGCACTGAATGCCTAGTGCGATTGAGCCAAGGGGGTGATTTAGCCTCATCTCCTGTGTCAAAGGATGCTCTTTCTTTTCCTGCCCCCTTGAGTATCTCACTACAGGGTAGAAGGAAGCATCCCCCCAAGGTCAGCATGCACAGCAGTGGTGGGGCTGCTGTCATCCTTACCCCACCCTCTCCAAGTCACTTCTCTGGGAGCCCGGAAGTTGCTGTATTATGAAATGGGCTCCTTTGACATTTATTTCTGGGTGCCACGGGACATCCATTCCTCCACCATTCTCATAATTACTCCCAAAGGCCTCTTGATCTAAAATGTTCACCATAGCATCCACCTAACTATGAGAAGGCATAGACAGTATCCATCTCTAAAATCTGTACCTAGTTCACCAGTGGTGCTGTTTGAACTTAATAATGTCAGCACTTAGTGAGCACTTAATAATTGGGCCCGGCATGTGCTAACATGTGCCTTATATCATAAGGGAAATGGGCACAATTAGGTGACTGGTGTGAAAGGCAAAACTGAAGCTTGAACGAGCAGTTTGTCTTCAGAACCTGTGCTCTTAACCTCTTTACTCCTTGTGTAATGTATTACTTTTCAAAGAATGAGGTTTTAGTCAAATCTTGAAATTTGCATCCACCCAAAGTGGATAAATACAAATAAATAAAACTTTCAACAGTATGGTAGTCTGATGGTGATGTCTGATGTGTTCAGTCCATACAGATGGACTAAGTTGAACTCGCCCAGTGTTAGCATTTCCTTGGAACTGGGGCAGTGAATGCCCAGTCAGAGGAAGGAGGGGTATGAGCCGCAGTTCACTCTTAACCAACAAAAAGAGGAAGAAGGGCACCCAGCTGCCCATGCTGGTACCAGAACATCACCCTGCAGCCCTGTTGCCTGTGAGTCAGCCGAAGAAGCTTCTGCCTGGGAGGCGGGTTTCTAGCTCCAGGCATGTCAGTCAGCCTATGGGGGCAGTCACTTGTCTCTCAGATTCCCTTTCTGTAAACAAAAGTGATGTTTTTTTGTGTGTTTTTTTTTTTGGCCGCACCGCAAGGCTTGTGGGATCCTAGTTCCCGGACCAGGGATCGAACCTGAGTCCCCTGCATTGGCAGCACGGATTCTTAACCACTGGACCGCCAGGGAAGCCCCCAAAACAATGATTTTTGAGGCCCCTTCCGGCTCTGAAATGTTGTAGCCCTGATGGAGAGTTGCCACTCACACTGGCTTCTCACCACTCTGAGCTGCCACCTGTCCCCACCCTTCTGCATGACCAGGAAGTAGTTCTCGGAACACTCATCACTTGAGGTGCTAAAGGGAGCACCCTTCAGCACCTGTCACCAGCCTCTGTCGCCAGGCTGCTTGCAGTTAGGGAGGGCGGACAGAGAAATGCTGCATTTGGAGCATCAGCAGGGAAGTCTCCAGAGCCACTCCTGAAGGCTTCCTCAAAATGAGTGCCCAGAGGTCCTGTAATCAGGAAACCAGGACAGAGGGTGTTCCAGGTGGAACTCCTTATACTACAAACTATTTGTCACTTATCTGAAATTTGAGGAGTCCTGTTTCTGGTCTGTTTTTTTTTCCAACTCCAGCAACCTTAGGCAGGAGGAACAACCTAAGAGGAGGTATGGAGAAGAACAGGCGTGTGACTATGGGCTTTAGCAAGGAAGCCAGCCTGACCGAGACCAGGCGTGTGGGG